AGGATGGACAAGCAGGTGTGGCACCTGAGGGCACCGTGCGTGGTTTCTTACAGGTGGGGCTTAGGCTGGGGCTGAGAATTAAGGCTGGGGAGCAGGGCAGGAGTCAGCATAATGGGTCCCCAGCACTGTGCCGAGGTGTCTGGGCTTTACCTGTACGTCAGGTCTCCTCAGTCTTTCACCATCTGCCAACTGCATAATGGCTATTTTGCACAAATACAGACCATCGATTTTAACTTTAAAAAAAAATCAACAGAAATGTTTAAATGAATCCCATCAGTCATCATCAAAGGCTGTATCTTTCACCAAGGTTTCCTTATATTTGACTTGATGATGTATAACATAAACTGTAGGGGAGGTTCCATATCTGGTCCATTTTAATTCCCTCCTTCCCGCCCCCCACCCCACCCTTTAACTAGAAAAATCCAAAACTCATAGGTCATCGAGACACAGCAGGTGTTTGGTAGTTATTGAACACTAATCAGTGTCTCTGTCTACAGTTTCTTGATATTCTTGATATTTTGATATTATAAAATTCTTGATATTTTTGATTCAAATATGGATAATAAGTTGTGGAGAGCTTTTCCTCCGAAGACTTCATTCAGCTTTTTGTCCACTTGGCGGATGAGCACATTTCTCAGAAACTGAAGGAGCAATAATTGGATTCCCAATCCCCATTTGTTCTGCTGCAGCATTTGGCTGTGCTTTTAGAGATACGCCCAGGAAGAATGTCATCTGCTCCTTTTTTCTAATAAGTGAAGAAAATCCTCAGGTTTGGGAAAAACTCAAATACTGGTCAGTCATGTCATTTACAGCACAGTTCATTCTTAAGAACTAATAACCTCAACATCAGTTAGTTTCTTCTCCATCTCTGTTGAGAAATTTAAACTGTTTTGTACTGATACTATTTTGCACTTGGTCTTAAAAGCACTAGATTGATTTCCGGAGAGGCCACGTATTGTTATCGATGATATTAGCCATGATTTGATGAAATTTTGTAAACTCTGCACTGGGGAATGGTTGCAAGAGCTGCAAGTGGATAACCATTCCAATAAGATCTGATTTCAGATATTGATTTCAGGTATTTCTCATCCTACCTCCTGTTCATAGTCTTCTTTTCAGTTACACACTCCACATGGTTACACCCGAAGATTCAGTTTTCCCAGTATATAGTCGTAGTCCATGTTTTCTCCAAAGTCCAGTTCCTCGTTTACATCCAGGATGCATTCCACGTGTTGGTTATTACTTTTACCACTATTTTTATTTTCAATTAACCCTTTTGAGCTGTCGATCCATTTTTGTAAATTGGAGCCATGCTCCACACTAGTAATAATGAAAACGCAAATTTAATAGACAATGTATGCATCTGATAGACAAAAAAAAAAAAAAAAATGGCCAACGTAGTCTTTACATGCACATGTGCAATATTTGAGGATATGATTAAGAAGTAATAAAGCTCTTCCCTTCTACAGCCATCACTGACGCGCCAGTGGCCAAAGTGAAGTTCAGTTCCTTTGTGACTCCTGACTGGAACAAAGTCTGTAAAAGACATTTCGATGTACCTTCCCACATTCTCAGGAAGATCATGTCTTCCCCTCTTTCCAAAGAGCTGAGACAGAAATACAGTGTTCAGTCCATGCCCATCTGAGAGGATGGTGAAGTTCAGACTGTGCGAGGACACCGCAAAGGGCAGCAAACTGGGAAGTTGCTGCAGGTTTGCAGGAGAAATACGTCCTCTGCACTGAATGAGTACAGCGGGAGAAGCTGGCGGCACGACTGTTCGCGTGGGCACTCGCCCCAGCAAGGTGCTTATCGCTAGGCCGAAGCTGGACAAGGACCGCAAAGAGGCCCTTGGACGTAAAGCCAAATCTCACCAACCTGGAAAGGAAAAGAGTAAATATAAGGAAGATGCCATGGAGAAGATGTGGGAAGAAAGTAATCTTATGTACAGCTTTCATTAAAAACTATTAAAATGAAAAAAAAAAACATTTAGAAATGAGATATTTATTAAAATTATGGTTCATGTGTCAAATTTAAGAAAAAAATAGACACACACACACACAATTATTTATCATTTTCTCCGGGAAGGCTCGACTATCGCAGACCAATTGGGGAGACCAAGGGTTTGAGGATCTCACTTGAGAAATAACTGCTGCAGGTGACGGGGAGCCATCGAAGAGTGTTCAATGGGAGAGTGACGGGTCAGGTTTTAATCTGACCATGTGCGGGTTAGAGGTGGAGAGACTGTGGAAAGGGATGCTGGTTGAGAGTGTATTTCTGTGCCCTAATTAAAATGGCGACAGTGAGGAAGAAGAGTGGGGTGAAAGAGCCAAGAGATCTCTAGGGAGTAGAATTGACAAGACTGAGCTCACCCTGGGTTTGAGGCTACGAGAGGAATGGCTCATGGCTGTGCCCGAGCAATCGCTGGCCCTTGCCCGCCCATCTGTCGTAAGGGCAGACTCCTTAGTCGGCCTCACAT